AAAAAAAAAAAAAAAAAGAAAAAATATACCGTCGAATTGAATACCTCCTTCTTTTGGGAAGTCGGTCAAAAATTACGGCCTCTATTAAATTTTTTTAAACTAGTACAAGATGAGATAAACTTGTGTGCGTGTGGAACGAAATCAGGGCTTGTAGAATCAACGAGTGACCGCTTTGGTTTGCGCAACTCGTTGCAACCGACTCCCCCATCGTAACTACTACGCCTGCGCGTGTGCTGCATTCCGGAACCGGGTCGCAGCCGAAATTTTAAACACCAGTTCTATTTGACCTTCTTCCCGCCCCGCTGTAGTACAACCGGTGTACAGAACGGCGTGATTACAATAGATATAGCACGGCTCATCTCAAACTGGCGGTATACGTGCACGCATGCAAATGTACAGTTAGGCTGTAACGGAGTGGGAATCAAATCGATACGATATCGACTCGGCTTTGTTCTCGTATACAGGGCAAGGGATTTGTTTCATGACTTTTGCATTTAATCACATTGTATTAGAGATTGTAATATTTGTAGTTTTTTAATTGTTTATATTTAAAAAGAAAAAAATCGAAAAGATTAAAGTATCTACATATTAGTTAAAAATGTATTTCATCTTAAGTTAGGTTTTGGACAAAGGAAATAGTGAAAATTGCAATAACAAGATCCATGATTTAGCGACAAGTCTTCGACCCAATCGCATCGAGCGTCAAATGACATTTTACCTAAATGGGTTGGAAATTAACGTCCTTGACTATATGCATATATCTATGGTTGTAATGAAACATGCGTAGTACCAACACTAACATTAACGGCTAGTAAAACAGGCGCGTAATTGAACTCTAACGTGGGAACGAACGCATGGGTATTAAGAATTCATGGCCACTGCTGGGGCCCGCATCTGTCATGGCGGTTGTTCACCCGGTGGCGAAATGGTACTTCATATAGACTAGATTATCGAACTGTTAAACTAATAAGCAGTTACTTACAAAAGGTCAAACGTTTAGGTACTATAAAATCTATCAATACTCTACACATATAAAATTAGAGTGTCTGTTTGTAAAAAAGAAAAAATACAAATTTCGGGAAAATGATGCATTTGCGGAAAATCACATTACTTTTTTTTGTTTATCTGTCTGTCTGTTCGCAAGCCACGTCTGTTCCGGGTAATATCCGAAACGGCTGGGCCGATTTAAACCCGACTTTCACTAAAGGGTAGCTGACATAGACGGGCATGTTATAGGCTACTTTTTTTATCTTAATATTGCGTGGACGAATTCGTGAACCGCTGTTAGTTCAAGCTAAGACTTTTATAATTAGGAACGAACATAGTACACCGTTTGTCTTTCACTCTTGTACAATTCAGAGAGAATGTAAAACAAATTATTTTATGTTAGTATAGGTGAATTGTAATCACAATAATTAGTATGTAAATACTATTAATAATATGTGTTACATCACTATTTCCCTCAATGTATTTTTATTATTGTGTAGTGTTAAATTATAATATAACCTTGGCTTGTCGAATTATCGTATAACATTATAAGGTGCTGGCGCCAAACAGGTGGTGATACGATATTGATTCATTGTCCCAGTTGTAAAGTTTTATGAAAGTACACTTTTAAACGTAAAATATTTAAGTATGGTTTCAAATGTCTTTTTGTACCGCAGTACAAATGTTTCCGATATACGTTTTGACACCTGTACTATCAAAACGATTTGAATTTTCGTTCATTATTATTGTAATTTTTTGTCACCGTCGAAGAAAATCGTGCAGTCCGTCAAGAGTAGATGTTGGTATTTACTAAACTAGAGCGTACCATTTTTGTACCATTAACTGTACTAACTTGTGATCTGGATTCCGATTCTACATCTAGAAGATAAGGTCTATGGTCTTGTACGAAAGTTTTAACAGTATATGTTGTTACAGGGCAGGTATACGAGGCGGCCCGGGCATGGACTCCCAGCAGCAGCAATACTGTCTGAAATGGAACAGCTTCGGCTCCAACCTGGCCACGTCGTTCGCGAACCTCTGGAACTCGGAGAGTCTCGCGGACGTCACTTTGTACTGCGAAGGTGAGTCAATAACATTATTGCCAGATGTTTTTGTTTTTATTTCCCATAGATGGCGTTGTATTAAAAAATATGATAGCAAATTCCATTTTTAGTCCAAAGTGTAATTTTAGGTTCTTTTAAAGTAGTTTACGGGAAGGAAAAAGATGATTTGCTTTATATATTGCATTTTTTCTAATAACTTGCGTATTAAGGCAGTTATGAAGTTATGTATTGTTATGAAAAACAACATTGTATTGAAAGGTCCAGTTTTGTAACCTATCCATCAATGTATGACTTTAATACAAAATTATAACGAACATAATAGATTACAGTGAATAATATATACGTGAATATACAAAGTACATTCTTATCAAACTGATTTGCAATTAAAAATGGCGCTACGCATCTATTGGCGGAGATAACGTAGCGCCTAATGTTTGATAACGTTACAAGAATTGATAAGAATCGTATTTGATTCATAAAACCGCTGCAAGCGTTAAGATAGCATTATTATGAGAATTAAAATAAAAACAACATTTAAAATGTTTTGTAAGTGAATTTTATGCGTGCGCACATCTGAAACTAAACTATCGTACAACTGTTTAGTCGCGCTTTGATTCCTATGAGCGTGTATGCGAGGCACACTATTCGATTTTTTAACTATGCAACTAAACAGTTGAATGGCCTGCAAAACAATTGACAAGCGCACAACAGTTGTGGAATAACTTTGTCAGAGGTGTGCGCCCGCTCTTGGGATTTTAAAAAAAACTATCTTCTAAAAATCAGACTATATTAAAACTGTCAACTGTTATCAATCACTGGTTATCTAAGTAACTTGTGTTACGTATTTTAGCAAGTACCAGTTAGTGCGTTGACTCTAAGCATTCAAATGAGGCGCACACTGTCGAGGTCGCCTGCGAACTTCGACAACCAATGCCAAGACTAACTTTAATGTATGCTAATTGACCAAGTAATGGTGCGTTTTCAATTTTGCTACCGTGCGAATGTACGTCTTACTTCTTACTGAGACTTAATAAGATGGTAATGGAAACGTATACTTGTAAATACTTTTGCATAGAGTATATCTTTATCATTGTAGTTTTTAGAAAAAAGAGCGTCGGTGGCTCAGTGGTTTGAACACTTGACATGTAATCTACAGGTCTTGGGTTCGCATCCCGCCATGTACCAATGTGATATTCGATTTTTCGAATTTTCATATGTACATAGTTTACGTTCTTACGGTGAAGGAAAACATCGTGATGCAACCTGCACATATCGGCGAAGAAATTCAAAGATATGTGTGAAGTCAACCAACCCGCACTTGGCCAGCGTGGTTGACTATGGCCTAGTCACCCCGTAATAGGGTAGGCTCCGAGCCCCTCTGTGGGGACATATAGTGAGCTAGTGATGGTAATTGTAGTTTTTAGACATGACACAAATACATAGACTGACTTCAAGCAAAAGTCTTAAGGCCTGTCCCACCACTGGCTGATAGAGGCTCTGATAGCTTAAATATGATGTCACTGTCAGATAAGGTAATAAAATCCGATATTTCTTTTGTTATTAGACAATTTGCAAATTAGTGGGACAGGCTCTTAGTGATGTGATTGGTATATACCAAATAGCAACTACTAACCTAACAGACTGCTCGAGACTGTACAGTTTCTGCAGTCCGTGTATGCCGGCTCTTTGTATTTTTTTATTTGCATCACGACCCTGAATCTAAATTACATACATCCTTCTAATTGTAAGCAACCCTAATACGTTTTGCATATGGCCTCAAGCTAGTTGCATAAAACATGCCGCCGCTGATGAATAGGACGATAAATTGTCGACACGATTGTGTTCGTAGAATGCATACGATACTCATCCGTCTTGAAGTTGCTAGGCGGTCAACTATTACTAGTTTCATACGAGGGTGACACAATGAAATAGAACAGTAGACAATGCAGTATTACAATTGTTTAAACGCATATTCACCATCAAGCAGTTTGTCTGCCGTGCATTCAAATAATAGTACTGCATCGTGTTTTGTCTCATTGCCCTAGTGTGAAACTATAAGCTACGAAATCACGTAATATTTCGCAAGTAAGACTTCACCAAATTACACAGAGTTTGAATTTTTAATGCTTCGATAATCGATAAGTCACTTAAGTTGTGTTCGGTGTTAGACTATAGTAATAATTTTAAATAGAATGGTAGTCATAGTTATGTCCCAGGAAACCTATTTGTTCATAAATAGTGTAACAATTTTTTTTTACTTATTAACTGTTTTGGGACGTAATCGATCGTACCAATTTATTTTATCTTGGAAACTAGCTGTTCCCATGCGACTTCATCCGCATAAAATTATGAAAATTTTATTTTATTGTTTACATGTGTCAAATTATCAATAACAAATGTCAAAATGACATGACATGACAAACCTTGACAACCTTGCTTCCTTGATTTTGGCAGCAACTTATGGTCTCTTTCCGACATTAGGATTTTATCCAAAATATTTACCCCCTAAGTTTAATGGCGTGAAAATATGTAGCCTAAAGCGTGACGTGAGTGTAGGGCCTTTTATTTAAAAAGTAATTATTCAAAAATATGCTGTAATTGCTGACATCTTAGGCAACAAAGAAGTGTGTGTTTACGCTTTATTATAATAGTAGGATATAGTATAGATATCGTCTACGCCTAAGAATTGAGCCTATAATAGCTTTAATGTAATAATTGATATAAAATAAGATATAAATAATTGAATATGAAATTTTAATAATTATATGATTGTAGATTGTATTGTATAGCTAACCTATCTATATTAAATTAGTTCCAAATTAAACCGTAGATTGAACAAATATAATATTTGTAATAGATATACCTATTGTGATCTTATATGGTTTTATGTACGTCATCTTATCAACACAAAATAAAATATTCAGGCGTTTTCGTGTACTTTTACCTTTTGGTAGCTCTTGAAAGGTTCTACTGACCCATTTCTCAAAGCCTTCATGTGATAGAAAGACTACTAATAATAGATGAGTTAAGTATCGATCAATATTATGTTGGAGGTTCATTTATTTCTTACTAGCTTTCGCCCGCGACTCCGTCCGCGTGGAATTAAAAAAAACAAAAGTGGTCCATTTAAACTTTCGCATTTATAATATTAGTAAGATTGCCCGCGACTCCGTTCGCCTGGAATTACTAAACAAAAGTAAGTAACCTCTGCGTTGTTCCAGACTATGCTCTACATCTATGCCAAATTTCATCCAGATCCGTTCAGCCGTTTACTTCACAAACTCTACCAGACATCCATCCATCTGAACTTTCGTATTTGTTATATTAGTTTGATTTATATTTAGACAAATATAGTAGAAAATGGGTAATGAAAAACATCTGTTGTGGAAACCAACCTATGGGCCCCGATCTTCTTTTATTTTAGCCAACATTCTATTTTTAAAAGTTTAAAAACTATCGGTTATTTTGATTAAAATTACCGGTCCCTTTGATGTAATTATAACCGGTTTTATTTTATTTTTTTGTGTACCAACTTTTAGCGCGATTTTCCGTAATATTTGCATATTATTAATTAACGTTTAATTATAATTAAGGCAAATTAGAAGTAAATAGTTTTTTCTAGTGTTGATTAATATAGTTTTTTTGGATAATTAATGGAAATTATTTTGGCGCCGCTTTGATGCATTACATTAATGTGGCGGTTTCTTTTAAATTGTTAGACAAATAATAATGTATATTGAATTATACCTTGCGTAAATAAATAACTAGATGAATCGAAACTGACGAAGTCAAAGTCAAAGAAAACGTTGTCTAGTTTTCGATATTTTTGGTATTCCTAATATTTTTTAGCCGATTAACAAATAATGTAATATGCCCGCGACTTCGCCCGCGCGGATTAAAAAAACTCGTCTAATCGAGATCTGTTGATCGGCTTTTGATACCTTACTATAAACATCCATCAGAGGTATGTTGAGTTTATAAAGCATTTTGTTAAATGTTGTTGCGTAGTAAAATTTAGGAACCGCTATTCAACAGATGTGCAATCAAAATGTCAGGATGACTACGTTCAATCTTGAATCTAAACAACTATGACAAACGGGTTTACGTCCGGTATCTGAAAATTCCACACTTTTTGTCAAAAAAAATGATATTTAAAAAAAGATACATCAAAGAAGAATACGTCAACTATTCTTAATTTCTTCTATAAAATAAGGACTAAAGAAATTATTAGAATTTTTAACATAAGGGCTATTTAAATTTGAAAAAAATGTCTTTTATCTTGTTTGCTTTCACTTAAAGGGATGAATCGTATTATTTAAATTTATACAATCTTTTAAGGTTATTTATCTATACATATAATAAAATTGGAGTGTCTGTAATATCAAAAGGAATATTTCAGATTTTGGGATTGTTTGCTGATAACGAAAATCGCATTTAAAAATTGTTTGTCTGTCTCTTCGCAAGCCGCGTTTGTTCCGAAACGGCTGGGCCGATTTAGACCACACTTTCATTGAAGGGTAGCTGACATAGACGGGCATATTATAGGCTACTTTTTATCTTAAAATCGCGTGGAGGGAGTCGCGAGCAACAGCTAGTTCTTAAAATCTTAATTTATTACGCAACAGGCTGTGTAAAGGTAATTATATTATCATCATTTATCATACCGACGTCGCTTGCATGTCCGCGAAATCTCGCTAAATTGATAAAGAGGTCGTTGACATCAGTCGTGATAAAATTTTGCCTTTTTATATCCACATATTCGAAGGCTATCGTTCAATGCACAAATGTTGATAACAGTAACCCATGTTTCTTATCGTGTTTATTTAATTTTTGATATTTCGATTTTATATACAAAAAAATCCTTCAGTTATCTCTCTTTTTTTATAACATAAGGTGGCAAACGAGCACGCGGCCACCCGAATCCGCCAAAATGGCGAAGCGACCGCTGCCCATAGACATTCGCAATTGCAGATGCGTTGCCTACCCTTATCCGACAGAGAAGGAGACGCACATAAAGA